ACTACTACTACTACTACTACTACTACTACTACTACTACTACTTACTACTACTATACTAACACTACTTACATATACTACTACTACTACTACTACTACTACTACTACTACTACTACTACTACTACTACGGACCAGACTACTACTACTATACTACTTACTTTACTTACAACTACTTCTACTGCGACTACTACTACTACTACTACTACTACTACTACGACTACTACTACTACTACGACGACGAGTACTAACACTACCTACTACTACTACTACTACTACTACTACTACTACTACTACTACTACTACGACTACGACTACGACGACTACTACTACTACTACTACTACTACTACTACTACTACTACTACTACTACTACCTACTACTACTACTACTACTACTACTACTACTACTACTACTACTACTACTACTACTACGACCACGACTACGATTACGACTACTACTACTACTACTACTACTACTACTACTACTACTACTATTACGACTTGCAGGAAGCAAACACGAGGAGGGGAATAACGATTTGCATTGCCAGCCGAATGATTCGAGGGAGGAGGGGCGGCAACATGAACGACCCTCCGCGGTTACATTGCGCACAACATATTCGCTCCACATAGACTGCACAAAAGGAGATTGCACCACGTAGGGTGCACAAACATAGGTTGATCCACTTATATTGCACAACATCGATTGATAGAAACACGCTGCTTGGGGTCCACGCTGGCGAACATCGACACAGCATACCGAATAGCATACACAACATAGCTTAGACGGCGTAGTTGACACATCCATCGCCCACACCGAATCCGCCGATCCGGCGCGTGAGTTTCTGAGAGCGTGGGCTTGAGCTCGCTCAAGCTTCGCTCTGCAAGGGGGGGGGGCGCAAGGCCTCCCCAATGCAGGGACCGCCCCCCCCCCTGCACCTTCCTCTCCGGCGCCACCCCCCCTCTCTTCCTGCACCCCCCCTCTTCCCCTGCAACCTCCTCTCCGCCCCCCCCCCTCCCTCTTCCTGCACTCGCCCCCCGCCTCTGCACCTTCTATTTCCCCCAGTTCCCCCCCCCTCTGCACTGCGCCCTGGAGGAGAGAGGGGGGGGGGGAGGGGAGGGGAAAGGAGAGAAGGGGGGACAGGAGAGAGGGGGGGGGGACAGGAGAGAGGAAGGGGCGGGGGGGGGGAAGGAGAGAGGGGGGGGGGAGAGGGGGGGGACAGGAAGAGGGGGGGGGGGGGACAGGAGAGAGGGGGGGGGGGAAGAGAGAGGGGGGGGACAGGAGAGAGGGGGGCGGGGGGGAAAAAGGAGAGAGGGGGGGGGGGAGAAGGGGGGGGGGGGACAGGAGAGAGGTGGTGGGGACAGGAGAGAGAGGGGAGGGGGAGGGGAAAGGAGAGAGGGGGGGGAGGGGACAGGAGAAAGGGGGGGGGGGACAGGAGAGAGGAAGGGGGTTGGGGGGGGCCGGGATCATCACCATCTCCATCACCATCACCATCACCATCGCCACATCACCATCATCGTCATCCGGAGCGCCCCGGATCGGCGGCACTGGCCGGAGGCCGCTACAACTACATCGCTTCCACCACAGAACTTACACCGCGTAGTGCCTGGGTCTCCACAGTGCGATCACGCACTGTGTCGGGTCCACGCTGGCTGACATGTAATGGTGTTTTGCTTAGCTGCTTTCGCATGATCGCCTTTTTGCTTGAGAGCGCTTCAGATGACGAGCGAACAACTCACACCCATACCCATACCCATGTCATGGTGTATTGCTTCGTTGCTTCAGCATGATCGCCTTTTTGCTTGAGGGCGCTTCAGACTGCAAGAGGTGCCCCCGCGAGGCCGCCCAGAGGCAGGCTGGCTGGGCCCGAGCCCGAAGAAGAGGCCAAAGACTGGCCGTGCCCCCGCGAAGCGGCGCAAGCTCTGGGATCTGCTTTGCTTGTGCGACCCTCGATGTTACAGGGCAGTTTTTTGTACGACAGAATTATGCATGAGCTCATCGCTGTGCTTGCTACTAATTCCCTGCATTTTTTAATACATGATCCGCACGCGGAGCACGTATAAAAAACGGCACTGTAATCAAATCCGCCCAAGTTCCGGCTTGCTCGAGCCTTACCGTTCCCGGACAGAAGCCCATCGGGGCCGGCTGTTCGAGCCGCGTCCGGCCGTGCCGACCAGCGCCTTCGGGAACGCCAGCAGCTGGTACGAGGGAGGAGGCAAGGTCGCGCGCGCGCGCTCCGCGGCGGTGCGGCCCAGATGTTTTGGTTTTGCACGAGCGCGCTCGCTGAAGTCACCATGGAAGACAAGGACACGCGCTTTGAAGAGCACCGCCGCCGAACGTTGGGGCAGACTTCAAAGAGCTCAGGCCTCAGCAGGCAATTCTGTACCACAATAGAGCGTAACGTTGCTTCAGCACAGCTTGAAGGGCAGAAAGTATGTCTGGCGGGGATCGTCCAGGCACCCAGCTGAATCCAGGAGAACGGTTCCACCCTTCGAATAGCAGGGAACACACGATACCAGAGGACACAACGCCATGTTCTCATTGCCCTCCCCCTCCCTAGTCGGTTTAAAAAAACAATGGCAAAAAGCCATCGGGCACATCCGCACGGCGGCACACACTCGCACTCGCCGGGTCAGGAGTCGCGATGTCCACTCGGCGGCCGTGCCCGATGCAAAAACTTTGGCCACCAATGCGACCAACGTCACTGCAACCACAAAGCGCCTCTGCGACCACGATCGCCAAATTTGGCGATGGTGGTCGGGTGCGGTCGTGGTGTCTGTGGCGAGACGGTGGCGGGACTTGGCGGCGGTGGTGCTGGCATTGGCACTTTGCCTTGACGGCAGAAAGACGTGCGGGCAAAGCAGAATTAAAGGCGTACAGACTCAACAAAAAACACAAACATAAACGTTCGGAGCTCCCAACGGATTGCTTAGATCGGCGCTGCCAGGGGAGCCCAGCGCCAATCCGAGTGAAATCCGCGTGGAGCTCCGAACGTTCATGTTTGCACCAAGGGAAACACATAAACCGCCCATTGGCCCGCCCACGCATCGGCTGCACCTCACCGACGGCGGCGTCGGCGACATCCAAGTCCGCAGTCCCCCGAGCTCCTGGGGCAGCGGCTGTCACTGCATCCTTGGGACAGGATCATACTACGCATGATCCAAGAAGTATTACGCTGTTCGCTCGCAAGCCCGACGAGGTACGAAAGCGTTGTGCTGTGACGAACCCGGCGTAGGGTCCTGACACCGCGTGGATCGTTCAACCTCGAACGATCGGCGGAATTTCGATCGCCAGATCGTTCCATCCTGGACTATTCTGGGCCGCTGGCGACAATGGCAGCTGCACCCGACACTGTGACCGCCGGGGAGCGCACCAGCGCTGCTGCACCTGAGCTGCAGACCCCTTCCCCGGGGTGCAGCTCACTGCCCCGGCACAGTGCTCGATGGCGTCGGGCCCCGAAAACGTCCCCCCGAGGCTGACATGCAGGACGCCAGCGCGGCTGCACCGAAGAGTATGCGGGCATCGTTTCACCGGCCCCTATCCCCGTGGACGTGGCCTGGGCCCCCATGGCCGATGGACCCCCTAGATGGAGATATGGGCCGTTCCCTCCGGGCTTCGAGGCGTGTGTCCCCAACTGGGGCGCAAGGATGCGAGGGTTCTGGATGGGGATCGGAGGAAGGAGGGAGGAGGGAGGAGGGAGGAGGGGGGATGGGGACCGGTTCAACGATGCCGAGTATTCCAAATCCCTTATTAATCGTCCCCCGGGTCCGGTTTTTTAAGGCGCCTTTTTTGGTCATTAAGGGAGTCCGGTTTATTAGGTCGCTTTCTTTGGATTGGAGCTGAGGGGGTCTGGTGTATTAAGGCGCCCCATCGAAGAGGGGGTCCGGAATATGAGGTCGCATTTGGAGGGGGGTCTGGTCTTTTAGGGGGGGTCGATTAAGAAGGGATTTGGAGCATGGCAGCGCTGCCGCCGAGGAGCTCCGCCGCCCCAGAGCTGAGCATGCCGAGGCGGAAGCCGGGCCCCTGGCGCGGCAGGCCGCGCTCCCCGCAGAACGCCCGGAACCGCTGCTCCAAGCCCCGCAGCTCCCGCACGGTGGCGTCGACGGCTTGCGCGAAGCCCGCATGGTCAGGGGAACGAAGGATGACATACCCTGACCCTCCAGAGAGGCATTTTGTTAGCACGAGAGGCCTAAAGACCTAAACAACGAAACGAAACAGCCGAAAACCAAGACACAGAAGAGCTCTGGGATAGGTTTCGAAGTCGCGTGCTATTTTTTAGCCCTCCTGGAAGGTCAGGGTAAGCAGAGGAAAATCCCAATCAGTGGATGGTTTGATCGATGAAGAGATCGACCAGGAACCCGGGAACCCGGAACCCACCGAAATCGGCCCAGAGCCAATAACCAAGAACCCGAGAACCCCAGAACCCCGAACCCGGGAAACCAGCCGGCCACCAAAATCGGTGGGACACGTTCGCCAAGTCTTTCACTTTCCGCTAGGACGACTTCAGCGCAAGCACTGACTGATTGGGGAACAAAAACTCGCGCCAAGGGGGTCCAGCGCGGATCCGAGAAATCCGCGCGGACCTCAGAGTTTTTCTGTTTATCTAATTCTTCGTTCCCCTAATGGTTTCGGTGGTCCGTGGTCACGGCGACCATGAGGGGACAGCGAGCTTCAGCGGCGCTGTTTCCTTCGAAGTGGCCGCTGCCACGGCCGCGGATGCGGATCTTGGAGCCTGTGCGCTCCGCGATGCTCCGCAGGATGCAGCCCCCCTGGCCGATGAGGCGAGGAACCAGGTCGAATCCTTCGGCCTGCATGTGGAGGTGGATGTGCGCCACCAGGCGCGTGGGCCGCCGCGTGCCCTGCGGGTGCCCGCGCCACGCTGGCGCCGACTCCGCGCCCCAGCTCGCAGCCGCGGCCGAGGCCCCCGACTGGCTCGGGCACCGAGGGCCGCCGCCGCTCGCGGCGTCTGCGCCGAGCCCGCCGCCAAGATCTGCTGGCTCGACGCACGGGGCTGCGCCGCCGCAAGCCTGGCCGGGCGGCGCCGGCACTGGGGCGCGGCTCCGCCGGCAAGCCGGCGCGCCCGCCGGCTCCTCGTCATGTGGCCGGAAGGCGGGCTGGCAGTGGGGAAGGCCCGCGCCGCTGATCACGGCCCTGAGCGGCGGCACGCCGGAGCCCGCGGCGGGCATGGTCGCGGCCGCGTGAGCCGCCAGCCCGCAGGCGTCAGCCATCGGCGGCCCAGCTCCCCGGCGCGGAGGCGCCATGCACCCCTTCCGAGGCGTCTCGCCCATCGCCTGGTCCACGCTGCAGGTGAAGCCGCTGCTGGCGCCCAGCGTGCCTGCGGAGACGGGCGAGCTGGTCGACTGGTCCACGCTGCAGCTGAAGCCGCTGCTGGCGCCCAGCCTGCCCGCGGAGACGGGCGAGGTGGTCGACTGGTCCAGCAAGCCATCGACCACCCTGGAGGAGGGCCAGCGTGAGGCGGCGCAGGCCAGGGCCATCGGGCCCGCACAGGGCCAGGGCGCCTGCGCTTGGAGGCCCGCGGAGGGCCAACTCGCCGGACCGACGGACGGCCCCGCACGAGGCCGCCTCGGCCAGCGGCGGCGAGCCGCCCGGGCTGGCGCAGGCCGGCGGCGGAGGCCCGCGCGGCTGCGGAGGCGCCTCCGAGCCCGCCCCGAGCAGCGAGCCCTCCGCCAGGCGGACGTAGCACGGCGAGGCGCCGCGCGAGGGCCGAGGCGCGAGCGGCGGGCCCGCGCGCGCCTGCCCGCGGCGCCCTGCCCGCGCGCCGGCGTGCGCCCCCGAGGCGTCGGGCGCAGCGCCGCGCTCCTCGCCGGGCGCCCAGGCCTGGCAGGCTCCGCCGCGGCCAGGCGGCGACAGGTCCTGGGGAGACGGAAGGCCAAGGCATGCTGGCGTCTTGGGAAAGAGGCCTGGCGAAGGGCCCAACCAGACCATACGCGGTTGTGAGTGCCACTGCTGTGGGTGTCGCCTTCGGTGGAGCTCTCCGTGGGGCCACGAAACGTGGTGTGTGTGGGTGCCAAAGTGAGGGGGGTGACGGGAGGAGGGAGGAGGGAGGGAGGAGGGGGATAGGGGAGGGGGAGGGAGAGGAGAAGGAGGCGGAGGAGGACGAGGCGGAGGAGGAGGAGGAGGAGGAAGAGGAGGAGGAGGAGGAGGAGGAGGAGGAGGAGGAGGAGGTAGAGGCGCGGGGTCTCTCTTCAGAGGACCCACCTCAACACAGGATGGTTGGGGAACAAAAACACGACGGGCTTTCTTCTACGATTTTCGGCCTCGGGGGGCTGGTCCTCACTGGCCCTCGGGGCAAGCCCACAAAAAGAAGGGGGATTGAGAACCGGCATATCGGAAAATGGTCGGGGCTTCTGTTGCAAAAGTTCACCGACAAAGCACCCAAATCTCACCAGCCCTCTGGGCGGGGGCGGAAGTGGTTTAGGGTGGTGTTTCCACTTCCACTCCCCGTCTTCCCCTGCGGGGAGGGGTCTACCACTGCCCCCTACATCAATAAACATCCCCTTCCCCAGGTGACTGGCAGTCAACCAGGACCAACGACTTCCCCCCCACCATCCCTGACAACAATTCAGCATAACCTTCGGAGCAACTTCTTGGGCCATGTTCGTGGATCCCGTGAGCACTTTGTTTTGTTTTGGGGCAGGAGCGGCGGGGGGGTATCATACTGCCTGCTGTCCACAGGGCCACCACCCGTGTCAAACAACAACACGGAGAGCACTTCGCGGCCCAATCTGGATCCTGCGCGGCCCCCCCGCGGTCCCTTTGCGCCGGCTGTGCAGAAAGACGGCGGGGGTGCTGTGCACACTGCCTGCTGCATGCGAGCCCACCAGACGCGGTGGCTACCCCGCCGCGATGGCGCCCTGGTGTTCGACAGCGGGAGCGCGTTCCTTTCTGCAGCGCTTCGCCACCTGGGCGGAAATTGGGGGGGGCGGGAGGGAGGTCTGGCTCCAGACCTCTGCTCACTGCGACGTTTTGCAAGCTTGCTGCCTCTGGGGAGGGCTCCGCCTGCTCGAAATAGGACCCCCCAAAACATCTGAGATCCGCTCCATGGGGGGGGGGGGGAGGAGGGGTGCGAGAGCCCGCGCCGATCGGCAAAACAATGAGTATAAAAACGACGACAAGGACGCTGGGGGGGCGACATGTTTGCCGATGTGTGCTGCGCGTGCTCCGAGCGTGGCGCCGCTGGGGCATGCGGCACACACACAACACACATAAAGCACGTGGCGCATCTGGCGCGCCAAACTTATGTTGCTCGCATCGTGCTTACGGACCACATCCCAGAAATGATTTCGAGCACCCGGAAAAGCGTCGAAAGAGTGTCGAAACAAGGTCGGACGAGCGTCTCCCAGGGCCCGACACGTGAAAACCCTCAGTTTCGGTACTTTCCTGGTGCTCGAAGCTCTTTCTGGTGATAAGGCCAAGGTAGGTTGGAACATCATCAGGCTTGGGCCACAGGGGTGCGCGCCTGGCACGCGTGGCGCACCTCGTCCCGGCATCGCGCACACGGGGTATGTTTTAGCTCCCAGTAGCTCTGCCCATCCATGGGCGCCCGCTGAGAACGCTGAGGCTCGGGTGCCACTTCTGTGCGGGGAGGGCGGGCGGGAGCGAGCGAGACAGTTTGCCTGCGGGGAGGGTGTCTTGACCCCTCCCCCTGCCCCCTCCCCATGGATCTGGACGGGGGGGCGAGGCTTCACAGGATCCTTGTTCGCCCAAGATGGCTCCAAGAGGGCTCCCCATGCTCGGAGATGGCCTCCAAGATGGCCCAACGACGGATCAAGGTGGCGTTCAACATGCCTCCAAGGGGCCCCAAGAGGCCCACAAGCTGGTTCCTAGTGCTCTCGGAGCCCGCTCGGGACCCCCCAAGGAGCCCACATCGCTCAAAAACCTGAAGAATATGAATGAAGCTTGCCCTCTCGCTTTTTCGATTCCGATGCGCTTTTGAGGCCTGAAGGTGGCCCCATGATGGCCCGAGAGGGCATCAAGATAGGCCCAAAGAGCGCCCTAGAGCGCTCCAAGAGGGCCCCAAGGAGCGATCTCGAGGGCCCAGGGGGGGGGGCTAAACGTTAGGCCCATCTCTTTTCACCGACGCCTTCCACGATAGCCCGAAGAGGTTCTCCAGGGCTCCCAAGAGGCCCCCAAGAGAGCCCCAAGGTCCCCAAGAAGGCCACAAGAGACCCCCCAAAAGAGCTCCAAGAAGAGCTCAATACCCCTCAAAAGAGCCATAAGAGGGCACAGAGATAGCCCCAAGAGGACCCAAACAGGGCCTAAGAATAATCCAAAATGGCTCCAAGAGTCCTCGTACACGTTGTCCTGATCCTCGTCCTCGTACTCCTCGTCCTCGTGCTCATCCTCCTCCCTCTCCTGCTCCTTCTCCCCATCCTCGTCCTCGTCCTTATCGTCATCGTCTTCCTCCTCTTCTTCCTCCTTCTCGTCCTCCTCTCCTCCCCCTCCTCATCCTCCTCCTCCTCCACTCCTCCTCCTCCTCCTCCTCCTCCTTCTCCTCCTCCTCGTCCTACTCCCCGCCCTCGTCCGCTTCCTCCTCCTCCTCTTCCTCCTCCACTCCTTTCCCTGACAACTCCTCCCTGTCGCACCCCCGAGGCCAGTCGGAAGAGCGGTCTGGGCGTTTCGCTTGGGACTTCCTCACCATTAGATATCATGAAGCTTTTAAAGTTGGAAACAATTTCACGGATGGAAGGCGGGCCGCTTTCACAATGTGGCTCTCGCCTTAGCTCGGCACGCATCCGTGCTAACCGATGGAGGGCGGGCCGTTTTCAAAATGTTGTTCCCGTCTGAGCAGCGCGCACATCCATGATTTGCAAGAGCTTCACGGATTGAGGACAGCTCATTTTCAAAATGTGGCTCTCGCCTCAGCGCCGCGCACACTCGTCAGAAAGTACTTACAAGGTTGCTACTGATGGAGGGCGGGTCGTCTTCAAAATGTGGCTCTCGCCTTACCGCCGCGCACATCCATCATGAAAAATTGCAGGAGCTTCACTGACGGAGGGCGGCCCCTTTTGAACATGTGAACCTCGCTTTAGCACCGCGCACATTCGTTTTAAGAGTCTCCAGCAATATCAAAGAGTATCATGGTCACCGCCCCAGAAATTGTGTTTCTGTCAGGGCAGAGCGCAACAGTTACGTTGATTCGTGGTGTTGCAGACCCCGAAATGGCATTCTGGCACGATTCAGGCCCGTCAAGACGCAACTGTAACGGTTATTCGCGGAGTTGAAATCCCAATAACGGTGTTCTGGCACAGTCCACGATTTTCAAGCGCTTGTTTTCTAACTGGGCTCTTCCTTCAATGCAAATTGAAACTTGTAGGGTCCAGTAGAGCTTGGAGGGAGGGTTTATCGCAACATCGTTGATGAGTCTTGTGGTTGCACTGGTGCGCCCCCACCTCTTCCTCCCCTTCCTTCCCATCGTCCCCCTCTTGCTCCTCCTCCACCTCCTCCTCCTGATCCTCCTACTCCTCTTCGTTTGCATCCGCCCGATCGTCCTCCTCCTCCTCCTCCTCCTCCTCCTCCTCCTCCTCCTCCTCCTCCTCCTCCCCCTCCTCCTCCTCGACGGAGAGGGAAACTGCTCAGTTTCCCTCCCTGGCGACTCCAGAACGAGAAAGTGTCGTGATTTTGGTTTCTAGACAGGGTCTCCGAAGCCTCAACCCATGTCCCAGGACCGGTGCTTCATCCTAAGCCGGTTTTTGACAGTCCCGGGGCCTGGCGAGGGCCCCTATATAGAGGCCGAAAGTTGAGAAACCCCTCCGCCTCGATCTTTGTCCATATGTTGGATCTCTGGGTCTCCTTTGGGCCCTATCCCTCAGGACCCCATCTCCCCTGACCTTGCAGAGAGCCATCTTTTAGCACCGGAGGCCTCAAAACCTAAGAAACGGAACGAGACAGCCTAAGACCAGGATGTAGAAGAGCTCTGGGATCGGCTCTTGGAAGTCCGGTGCTATTTTTGTTTAGCCCTCCTGGAAGGTCAGGGTCTGGACCACCGGGCCGGGGTCCGTGCTGCCGCCGAAGCCGCTCGCGCGGGCGCCCGCCGCCGCGCCCCTCGCGCGGCCCCCGCCCGGGCCCGGCCGCGGGCCGCGCGCCGCGCGCGCTGAGGGCATGGCGCGCCGCTTCGGCGCGGGGCGGGGGGTGCGCTTCGGCGCTTCGGCGCGGGGCGCGGGTGGCGCGGGGCGGGGCCCTGCGGGTGGGCTGGCGCACGGGGCGGGCGGGAGGCGGTCGCGACGGGGGGGGGAGGGAGGGGGGGGGGGGCGAGGCACGGGCGGGGGCGAGAAGCAGCGGGGGGGAGGAGGGGGTCAGGGAGGAGGGGGGGAGGGGCATGGGAGGGGAGGGGGGGGGAGGGGGGAGGAGGCAGGAGGGCCAAGGAGGCAGCAAGGAGAGGGCTGGCGGCGCGCGGCGCTAAAACGAGAACAACGTGTTGAAAACCATCCGCCCTCAATCCGTCAAACTCTTGCAGTTCTTTGAAACCAATGTGCGCGGAGCTTGAGGCGAGAGCCATAATTTGAAAATGGCCCGTCTTCCATCCGTGATTATGTTGCACCTCTCGAGCTTCAGGATCATGAAGTGTGAGGAAGTCTCAGGCGAAACGCTAAGCCCACCTTTTCGACTGGCCGCGGGGTGCGACAGCGAGGGCTCATGTATAAGGAAAAG